AAGGCCAGCACATTCTTCAGGAGCTCAGTTTCCTTTGGAAAAGGATGTAATAAGGTAAAGCTGGAAAGGACACTTGAGCTGTGACCTCTGTGTAATACATTCTGCTGAATTAGCTCAAATTTGGCAAGTCTGCAGCAACAGCAAGTCCGACTGGCATCAGGACATGCTGGCACATGTCCTTGAGAGAGCAAGAGCTCCCGCTCTGGATTGCACGAAGGTCCCTCTGTCCTGGGTGCAGCTGGAGGTGGGAATATTACAAGAACAGAAAATCAATGAAATGCTTCCCGAAAAAACCCCACTGCCTCCAACAGTTTGATTTTTAGGCCTGTCCTTGCGCTGTGGCATAGCTCAGCATCCCCCAGCATGTTTCCCCATGGATTTTCTCAGAAGTCCCATGAACCACATAAACTTTTAGCTTGGTCATGGGTGAAGGGCAAAACTGCGCCTGGAGCTGACTTATGGACTTAGTCATTACACCAGAGCTGACTCATGGACTTAGTCATTACACCACAGTCCTTGGCCTAGCACATCTCCCAGTTGCGTCCCACGAAGAAGAAAGGTGCCAGTAACTGCCAATACCTTCATGCCACTGACAAGTCACCTGCGTTTGCTGAAATGGGTAGAACTGACTGGGGATTTTAGCGAAATAAGCAACTTTTTTTTTTTTTTCCTGACCCCTTTTTTCTTCTTTTTAACATGAAAATCCACACCGGCAAATGAGATCCGGCTCGCGTTACACCTGCAGTAGCCGTGGATGTACTGCAGGGGGTAACCTTTGGCTGCTGATCCACTCCCGGCCGCAGCCAGGCAAGCTGAAACAGCCACCGCGAGTCAACTTCTGCAGAGGCAACCGCGGTGGCAAGAGCCCTAGTGAGTCCTACCGTGGTCTCAGTTTAATTACAGCAAGCTTCTGGTTTTCCTAGTTTTAAACAGCTTAGGAAAAAGAGCCCTATAAATACAAATAAAATAATTTTTAAAAGCAACAAAGAGAAAGAATTTGATATTTGGGGCAAGATAGCTAAAATTAATATTTTTTTCTGTCTCAGATGGCATGATTTTTGTGCCTGACCAATGTCACTGGAGATACCCAAATCGAACAACTGAATCCTCTTCATGGACACAGATCCAGGCTGTCACTGCGGGGGGGGGGGGAAGTCCAGCAGAAAATGTTGTTTTCTAGCTCCTAAGGAAGTGCAGTAAAGTAGAGGGAACCTGCAAGGCTTACACACCAGAGCGACACACTCTTTGCACCAGCATCAAGTAGCTGTCCCTGTTCAGAAACCTCTTAACATACGCTAAGCTTTGAAGTGAGCCCCCAGCAGCTTCAGCGGGAGTTGAGCTCAGTACTGTCCCAGGCTGCTGCTCTGGGTGGCAGAAGCAATTTTCCCCTTTAAGCCCCACAAACATTTTCTTCCAAGGAGCTCTTCAAGGAGGGGGCTGGCTGATCATTTGCAACAATGGTGTTCCCTGGGGCTGTTTCCAGCAGTGCCGCTCTAATGCTCCGGGAGACCTGGCAATCATTCACCCCCAAGCCGTGCATGTCCTTGCTCACATGGGATTTTCAAGAGCCATGTCAGGAACCTGATGCCCTGCCTGGGTTAGCAAGAGGAACGTGTGTACCCACACCTACAGGTAGGTCACACAAGTGGAAATGAAGTTTGGAGGAGTGCCAAAGCCAGATAGCAGTTAAACATAGGTGAGCAGATTCCTCCTTTTGCAAGGACTGGTTTGAATTGTTTGCCTTTAGTTTGCAGTAACAACTACACCTCAGATCCCTGTTGCCCTACCAATGCAAGTGTTCCAAGAGAAAACTTGGGGGGATGTAAGGATGGAGCCTCTGGATGTAAGGAAGAAGGAAAGGTCTTGAAACAGTATGGGTTCATCAGTGGAAAAACAATGAAGCAAACCCAGGCTTTGCTGCAAAGAAAGGGGAAAAATAAGTTTTAAACAAATAAGCAAATGAAAAGTCTTTTTCTAAATAGTAAAATAAAGCCATAAAAGTTCATAACAAACCCACCTCATCTGCAACACCTTTAAGATGGAAACCAAACTGAAGATTTAAAAAGTGGCCTGCACGAGAAGCACATTTCCTGTTCCCTGTACCACAAGCAGAGGGTGGCTTCAATTCATCAGTGGCTGAACTGCTGCACAATAAAACTCAGTGATGAATGAGCTACTTTAAAAGCAATGGAGCTTTGTCCCCTTGGTGGCCCAGCTTCTCCAGTGTCTCCAAAACATTTGTTTATAAGTGGGAAATGACTAACAAGCCTCTGCAGACATGAAGGCAGTTGAGGATCCAGCTTTGGGAAGTTACCCATGGCGTCAGGCAGACAGAGCTGGGGAAGCCCTGTGAGAGCAGGGCTGAAAGGTGGCAGAGCAGAGTGGATGCAGCTCCATTCTCAACACGATGAGTTTAGCTTCTGGTGTCTGGTTCAGCCCTGTGGAGTTCCTAAAACAAGCCTGAATGTTGCATCCCACTGCTCTGAATTCTCATTTCCACACTCCATCATCCTTACACTCCTGCTGAAAAACCCCAGCCCTCAGAAGCACTTAGTCTGTGAGAGCATAAGCGTATCATCAGAGAACCAGTCCCATGACAAAAAGCTGGAAATGACAGCACCAAGGCTCACCTTTTCATCTCCACAGGCTGTCAACTCTGAATCCTAATGATGGTGCTAAAACCACCTTTGGCTTGCTTCCAAGGATCACTGCAATGGGCTACCATCCCATGCTCCTGCACGCCAGAGACTGAAAACCTGGAAGCTCACCTCTGAACCAGGACAAACTACAGACCACGCAGCAAACCTCATTTTACTCAGGAAGTCCAGCCCAGACACTGGAAGCACCGGAGCAGTGCCCTCAGGGAGTCCAGGGATACCAGCAGCAACTTAAGAGAATCTGCTTTTATCCTATACAAGCAAAGACCTTGAATTCTTGTCAGGCACTTATCCAGGACAACAGACAAAGGTACCTGAACCCTGGCCAAGATGTTTTCCTTTCTGCTTCACAGAGCACATGAATTGCAAGAGCAGCCCATTTACAGGAATAGTTGTGCCTTGGGGACAGCAGCAAGGTTTCCAGGAAAAACTGATATGAAAACTTACATTACTTGTGGTCTAAGCCCAATCACAAGCATAAAGGAATCTCAAATTCTGACACTGCTTAGAAGAACCCAACGGCATTACCTCTGCTAAGCACAAGCACTACTCTAAGACCTTTTATCACACTTCACTAGTACATTAGCCCAGACCCATTTTCCTCAGCAGTTTAAGCTGAAACACCTGGCTGCAAACTGACACTCAGGCACTTCGTATTCTGTCATCCCTGGTTTGGGGGCAAAAGAGTGGGGCTAGAGGTTGGCAGACGTGAAGAGGCAAGCCCGAGTATTTCGTCTGTCTCCTGCAACACGTCTTAGAATGCACTATAACTCTTTCATTATTGTTTCCATTTCCAGCCCCTGGGGCTGTAACTCGCCATGCATAGACCTTTCCTCCTGCTTCTGTTACCTGCTTTCCTATTGGCTTCAGTAAAAATCCTCATTTCATTGAGGTGAAATTCCCACCTGTCCCGCTGGGTGCTTCAGGACATGCTGCCTCACCCAGCTCCGGGTGAGCTGCCAAGCAGCAGCACTCCCAAGACCCCATCAAAGAACCCTCGTTTGTGACAGACCCTGCTAGGGTGTGTGGGGCACACAGATGGGCTGCGTGGCCAGCATGGGAACCAGGCTCTGGGAGAATGTCTGAAGGACCCCAATGGCTTCTCCAATTGTTCCACAACTTTCTGCATTAAAAAAAACCAAAAGCGTGTGCTCCAAGCACGTTGCTCACTACAATGGTGTCTGCTGCACCGTGGGCAGCCCTGCTGCTGAGACGGAAGGTGATCGTGAGCCCGCTGAGCCTGTCCCAGACCTGATATCTGAGCAGGCCTACAGGAGAGGTCCAGGGAGCCGAGCCAACAGGGAGAATGCCATGGCCCTTGCATGGCTCAGGCAGTGGCAGGGAGCAAAGCCGACCTTTCTGCCATGCTAAGCAGCTGGGCTCAGGTGCTTCTCACCCTCTCTATTTATACCAGCATTGCTATTTATGCCTGGCTTGTTTTTGTCATCCATCTCACCTAGCTGACACTTTACATCACCTTTTCAGCCCTTTTTTATTTCTGTTTTCAGGGCTGAAGACATCACAAAAAACTGGCAGCACCTTGGAAACATCAGTCTTCGCATTTCCCTAAATTGCATGTGCAGAAGGGCAAGGGGAGCTGCGTCCTAATCCCTCAGCCACTTACTAAGCCATGAAAAGATGCACTAATGGACAAACATGATGAGGCAGTTACAATAATTTCAGTGCAAAAGCAATGCTTCCAAATGGAGAATTGCATAAAATGATGCTGGTGCCAAATCCAGCAGGTAAAAGGCATTGTCACCCTGATTTTAGGTACATTTATATGCACAAAATTATCTTATTGCCTCTACATAGGGGATAGGTACTGATGTAGAAAGAAGAAAAGCAAACTGAGAAGCCCTGCTGTGAATTTGCTATGGTAGAACCTCCTGATCGTACTTGGGTTTGAAACTTTCATTAGAAAATAATCACAGAACGTGGAAATATTGCAGAGGCCTCATCACCAGACCTGGGAGGTTTTCTTGGCAGCAGAGCAGCTTCAGGCAGCATCAGAGACTTCTATTTTTGTGCAAAACAAAAGGAAAAGACAGACTCTTTCTAAACACCACTTTGCAGCAGAAAGGCTTTTGACTGAAAATCCAGTCTTTTTCAGACAAAAACCAACAGGTTTCCTATTGGGGTGCATATGACAGATGACCATCTGCCAATTGAGGCTGCAGTTGCCGTTAGAGTTAACTGCTGTGCAGCCACTTCCCACAGAAGGAAGCTCCTTACAAAGCTGCCCTCTTTCCTCATCCCTGTTTGTTATTTCAACAGACCCAGTGGCAGCCAAGAGTGGAGAGAATGAACAAATGGGAGTTAAATAACTCCTCAAAGACATGCAAAGTATTAGTCAATATTTATTTATTTTTTTAATCTTTCTGCTTGGCCTCATATTTATCATGTTTTATGGCTGAAATGGCAGAGGGATTTATCACAGCAAAACCAGATCAACTACAACCCCTGGGTAAGCATTATACTATATGTACCTGCTTCCAAAAAAAGAGGTGGCTGGTTTGCTTTGTCTTGGAGAGGAGGAGTTTGTTCTGCAATGAGCTACGAGGTCAGAGCAGTTCCACTCTGAACAGCAAGATGTGAACAGCCACATGCACCACCAAGTTTAAATATATACTAATCACAGGTGAACTGAAATCACTGAATAGGTTGTTTCCAAGTCACAGGGCCCTGCTCACATCCCAGCTATAAAAGCCTTGGGCGGAAAAAAAAGGATGGTTAGAGTAACACTCCCTTCAGCAACCCGAGCATCTCCACAGTGATGCTGCTGCAGTGGGAAGATGTCTCTCTGCCTTGCTCCATCCTTCCAAACCTCATCTAGAGAAGGGGTTCAACATAGCCTTGACAAGTACAGTCTGCTCCAAAACCCAGGAGGCTGTGAACGTATGGCTCACACTATGTACCTACACATCCCTTGATTTTATGCAGAACCATCTCAGCATCCCCAGCAGCATTCCCTGGAATGAGGGTGCTGCTGCACCAGCAGTCTGGTGGCCCTAAAGCCCAGAGAAGCACAGGTTTCATTCAAGCCAGTTATAGCAGATTATAAATAGAGGATTCTGGTTGTTTTGGAACCCCCAAATATCAAGCAGCAGGTTCTGCTTCCACAAATAGCCCTGAGAGGTGGTAAGGCCAGGCTCATCTTAGCTGGTCCGAGAAGTGCTAGGGTTAAAGTGACACTGCCAGGGAACAACGGGGTGCTCCTCACTCTGCCAGAAACTGGGGTGGACATGTCTGGGTGCCAACCATCAGTGGAGTCAGGCTCTGCTTTAGCAAAGCTGTTATCCTATTTACCTGCAGGAAAACAGAGCTTTCATCCTACGCCTTCCTTGAGTCTTTTAAGTCAGCAGACTTTAATAACCACAGATACACTTTTAGAGACAAACAGATGCTTCTGTAACGATTTTAAGCATGTTCACGATACACAATACAAAAAAGCAGGCAACTTGTTGGTTCATTACCTATTCTTAGGGAGCCAGAGGACAAAAATTTCACACTGAATTCAATCAGGCACCTGCTCAGGGCAATTCCCAACAGGGAAGGTGTACAGTTCTCTAATTGTAAAACACTGCATTGTTTTTCCAGCCTTCAAATATTATTGATTTTAATTTTTTTTTCAGATGTGAAGAGATGAATTCCAAACATGGTGTCTGCAGTCCGTGGTTCACAGCAAAAGAGCCATTTCCAAAAGCAGAGTATTAAATGCCAACTGAAACACTGGCTGGATACTGCATGCTAAGAGGCAAGCTCTGCTGTGCATATCTGGGGCAAGGGAGGTGAGGGTTTGATCCCTTGAGCCCTTGGGGTTTGCCCTGCCAAGGCCAGGTTGCAATATCATTATGATAAGGGTAATCCTGTTAGGCAAACACATCAAATAGTCATTCCCAATTGCAGACCTTGTCTAAGCAAATCTAACCCCGGGTTAAAAATGTGCTGAGTGCTCAGTCCTGTGGCACAGCATGCTGGGGGCTGAGCGAGGGATACATGGGGTCTTCTGTGCCCCAGGGCCCTGGGGCAGGCACTCTCAGAAGCCCAAGCTAATGCCTGGAAGCATCTAAAAATTGCAACAGAATAAGTTGTCTCTCTTTCCCTTTCGCTTCTTGTGCAGAAGAGGACAGATGACTCTTATATCAGGCTGGTTTGCTTCTATATTTATGGCCTGCCTTAGGCTCACGATGTTCAGCTCAGATGCAATCCAGTCTGGTTGTATTAATACATCTGGGGAAACATTTTCAACAACCAACATCAAGCTGAAAGCCAAAATCGTCCACAGGCGCCAGGAGCTCTCTGACTCCCATCATCTCCTTGCTTACAAAACAGAAAGGCTCCCCAAAAGGTATGGTTTTGTCTTTTAAGGGACAAGTACACTTTTCAGCTTCCCCCTGTAACTTGCTGGGTCAAAATTAATCTCTGCTGCAGCTCTGAGAATTTGCCTAGGTTTCCAAAAGGATGAACATGGCTCATTTATTACAAATACCAAAATCAAGGTTTAATGAGCAGTGGCCTGCAAACCCAGTCAAAATAAACAGGACCCTGATGATGGCCTGTGACCACCCCTGAGGGCTTGTGTGGTAGCTGCCACTGAAGGACCTTATCACCTTGCTGCCCACCTCACTTCTGCCAGACCACTTTTCTCTGTCAATGAACCAGCGTTCAAAACCAAGTTTCAAAGCCTTAAAAACTGTGCTATCCCACCAGTGGGCACCAACAGCCTCAGCAGATCAGTGACACCAGTTGAGCCATGCATTCAGCCTCCCATTGGCCAGGACTGATGTTTGACTGCAGTGGAACCTCATGTTACATACTTCCTCCAGAGCTGGTGAAGAGATTTCCTTTCCAAAATGAAGTATTCGATAGCTTCGCTTGAGGTTCCCAGGCACCATTTGGGATGCAAATTTTTGGAAGGGTGTCACATTCACTCTGCAGCAGCCAGGAAACAAGAGTAACAAGAGAAGACTTGTTCACTTTGCTGTTTCCAAAGCAGATTTTCCTTTCATGCTGTGGGTTAGGATGGAGCTGACTCTATAGCACAGCAGAGAAACCAAAGCAGCCAGGGTTATGGGCAGCTCAGGCTTAATGTGAAATGATGATTCATATGAAGTCAGGCAAGTAGAGAGTGACTAATACAAAAGAAGACTGGGGAGGAAGAAGATGTGGGTGCTGTGAGTGATGGGCGAGACAGTGCAGAGAAGAGTGGTGAGAACAGGGTTCAAGGCCATGACTCCACCCCTGGACAGAGTGATGTTGTCTGATGGTTTCAGATATGGAGCCAGCAGCAATGGCCCAACCAAGACCACTGCTGACTCCTAGCAACACCTTCAGCATTCTTGCTTCTCAAATAAACATATTTTCTCACTTCCCAGGAAAACTTCTGTGACTTTTTCACATAGATATTTGTGCTTCTGAAATGAAAGGGCAGAGTGATTTACAACGGCACTTGCCAATATGCCCCCGAAAAATGGAGATGGGCAAAACAGGCACACAACAGGCATGTATGCAATGAATGTTTCAGACCCACAGGTGAGTATAGGAGCGGGATGCTTTCCTCTCTGCATCTGATGTGCAAAAGACACCCATGGTGAGCTGCATTCACCACAGCGCAGGGAGAACACATGCCCTCCTCAGAGAGGTAAAGAACAGTCCCTGGGCAGCCTTTCTTGGCTGCCTTCCCATCCCTGGTCCTGTAAGCAGCTGGGGGCCCTGCTGTCTGCTTCCCGGCTGGGTGCTCCGGAGATGATAGAAATAAAGGGTGAGCTCCTCAGATGGGGAACCAGCAGCAGTGGAGAAAAGGAAACAGAGGGTATTCTGGAGAAAATATTTATCTAAGGCTTCCACGAGGCGTCAGCAGCAGCTACTATTCATCACAGCTAAGCAGAGGTGCCTGGGTCTGCCATTCACCTCTTCACCTGGCATGACCTCACCAAAGGAGAACCAAGTCGCATATAGACTGCTAGCAGCTCTGCCTTCTTGTGTCCCCGCAGGCTACTGCTGGATGACCAGCCTCTATTCCCTGTCTAACACAGCAGAGCAGAGGGATCCCTGTGCAGAGCCAGAACCTCAAGGACCAAACTGATACACTTGCATACTATCCCTGACCTACAGAACTCATGGGCTAAACCAAGGTGGTCAAAGCAACATTACTGCACCCCTTCTGCAAATGGGATGCTGATGGCACCGCAAACTGAAGGTCAATGAAGTACCTGCCGTGGGAGGGGAAGATCCAAGCGTATATTCCAGCTGAGTGCCCTTACTGCAAACCACCAGCACTCATTGCTTCTCTCTGAAGATGTTTAATTTTACCTGACTGGGAGATCAGCTGTTTCTACCTGACTTGCTGACAAAGACCTCAGAGCCAGAGGCTTAAAGCAAAGTGGTAGCTCTGCTGCTTCAGCCCACCACAGCTCCAGAGTTGTTGTCCAAACTCTGCTGACCTTTGAAAGGAGACAGGTAAATGTTCAGAGTCAAACTCACACACAAAATCCTTGCAAGGGCTGGAGTAAAACCTGTATCTTTCAGCCCTTTTCAAAGATGAGGGATGTACTCTTTGCCCAGCTTCCATCTCAGGCTCAAAACCAGCACTAAACATTAACTATGTTCAGTATGCACCCTGATAACTGCCTATTTTCATGGTGCTTTTAATTACACCCACAATCAAGTCCGTTAAGTTAGTATGATCCTGCCCTTATTTAATGAAAACCTCAGGAAACAAATGACGTCTGCTAGAAGAAACAGCAGAGCTTTTCCCTTCATCCCATTACGTGGCTGGGTTTCAGTAGCACTAAGGGGGTTTTAATTTGTCACTGGCTGGAGAAAGCAAAGGATCAATGCGCTCAAGAAACCAAAAGAGCAGTGTCCTGTAGGAGGGTGAAGAAAAGAATAGCTCCGAGACGACACGTCACATTACTCAGACATGGCTGCACAGACGGAGTAATCTTTGTCATGTGCCAAGGAAGCTATGATAAGCCCTCTCACAGTCGGATCAGTAATAAGATCAGTTACTTAATTCAAAGTGATTAAAAGCAGGCTGGACTGCAAATAAATGAGGCATGTCCGTGGTCTGCACATAAAATACGTATCACAAAATTAAAACCTTTTTGGGTTGTTGTGCTTCACTGCTAGTGCTGGGCATGCTATAAACAATTTTGGGGGCAAACGTAATACTTTTGCTCCAGTGAAAACAGGCTGTCTTGCCTACAGGCAGGCTTCTGCTTCAAATGTATGTGACAAATATATTTTGCAGACAGGAGCCAGCTCTGGGGCAGTGAGGACTCAGCGTGCTCTGGCCTGTTTTCAAGCCAATGCTGGGGCCAATAGCACTCTCCAGTTGTAGCTGGTCCCCCTACCTCCATTGGAGCGCTTGGCCCAAGAAAAAACATGCTGCTTCCACACCAAAGGCATTAATTTCCTACAGAAAACCCAATTTGGTTTTGCAACTATTCTAACCCCTTGCCTTTCAGCTTTGACACCACTTGGCTTACCCAAGCATGTGCAGAAGATGAGTAGAAAAGGCTGGGCAACCTGGCTTACCATCACACTGGACATACAAATCAATGCCAATGTCCTGGTGATGGCAGGGAGTGGATTTGGGATTGGTGGTTGGGCAAGGCCATTTCCCAGAGCAGGCAACACTCAGAGATGCAGCAGGTGCCACTACCATCAGTGACAGGCAGCAAGGCACAGGCGGGTGAGGCTGCACTGGACACAAAGGAAGAGCTACAGAATTAGCTGGTTTAAAACCATTCATTTTGATCCCAAACTTTGGTACAAATTATCCCATGCTTGCAGTAATAGGATGCAAGTGACAGGTGAGTGCCTGGCAATAGCACGGGGTGGTGGAAATGGTTGCCTTTAATGAGTTTTCATCTGGAATCCAACACGAGTGATGAAAGAGGATTTTCCGTGCCGCAGCTGACACCTGAGACACCAGGAGCTGTGGTGGATCTGTGCAGATACTTGGATGACGAATTGCACTGACAAACACTGGACTTAATTCTGTCCAGCAGAGCAGCTTAGCAAACATTACCCCAATTTCTCTTCATTCAGATGTGGTCACCGAGTGTTGTGGAATATGACAGCAGTGTGCAGTGTCCTGTCCAGCTCACCCACTTGCCTGCATCCCCTCGCAGGGACCCGGGTTTTGCTGTGAACAACACACAGCAGGGAAGAAGTTACAAAGCAAACGGAGCACAGTTTAAGCATTGTTTCCCTGGCTGAATGGCGGTTCACAAGAGGCATGACAAAGGCAGTGGTTGTTCCTTGCCAGCTTCGTTCTCACTGGGGTCGAGGGAATGGTTGGCGGCATCCTGCAGGCTCCCTGCCACTCCAAGCAGCTTCACAGAGAGGGCTGTAAGGAAGTGGGACACTTCAGCACATGCCTGGCAATATCCATAATGTGCACACATCATGCTGGGGCATGTGGAAAGCACTGCCTGTTCCTGGGGTGGTCAGCAGACATTGTGCTCCCATACCAGTGAGGGGAAGGCTGGGGAGCCCCAAGGATGAGGAAACCAGAGCTGTCAGCCATGAACCTGACAGTGACTGGCATTACCCACCTGCAGAGAGCCTAGAGCCTGATCGCACCTTCCTGATTGAGAGGGAGATGGTGGCAAGTGGGGGAGACACTGGGGGTCAAACACACAGGGAGAAAGAGAGAAATGCTCTGAACCTGCTGGGGGGGGGGGGGGGGGGGGGGGGGGGGGGCAAGGATGTAGCAGATCCCAGGATTTGCTATCAGCAAGGAGGCCTTATGAGAGAGCAGATCCCAGTAACAACAGCACTTGCTTTACCAGTGTGTGGCTGTTACCTCTATGCATTTTAGGGCCAAGGGACTGCAGGTGCCCAGGGGAGGGAGTCCCTGGTGCAGAGCTGCCAGCAGTGCCAGGCTCACCCTGTGCCACCACCACCTCCTCGCTCTTCTGTAGCCAAAATCTGACAGGTAACTGTCAGCAGGAAGGGCTGCAGGCAAATGTCACCCTCTGGGAGACAAGCAAGAGACACGAGTTTTGCAGCAATCACACGTGCACACACATGTGGGAGCCCACGACCCGCACCGGCTCCCGGGCAGCGCCAGCCTCCGGCCAGGGCCACCTGCAGGGGAAGAGCAGAGGGTGAGCTGAGAACTGGCCCGGGCCAGGCTGAGCCCTGCCAGGGCACGCCAGGGAGGTGACACCGCCTGCCCAGGACCCTGTGCGCTTGGGCACAGTGCGGCTGCGGCCTCCTACACCCAGGAGCCCCGGTGTCCCAGCGTCCCGCGCACAGCTGTCCCTGCGGTCCGGACACCACGCTCCCAGGAGCCCATGTGCCCGGGTCCCTGCGTGCCCTGCACCCCACAGCCGCAGGCCCCCCACGTCCCCGCCGCGCCGCGGTCCCGCACCCCCGGCCCCGCCCCGGACCCCGCAGCCAAGTTTCTTGGAACTTCGCCTCCCGTGACGCACGCGCGGGCGCCGGGCCCCGTCCTCTGCGCGCAGCCAATGGGCGCCCGGGGGCGCCGGGGCGGCAGCCAATCGGCGGCGGCTGGACAGTTCCCCGGTCCTGACCGACCTTCACCGCCCGGGCCGGGGGGTGGGGATAAAAGGGCCCCCGCGGCGGCGCGCAGAGCTCGCGCCTCCCTGCGCGCCCCTCCGCGGCGGCGGCCACGAGCAGCGAGCAGCGCGGGGCCGGCGGGAGGTGAGCGCCGGCAGCGCGGCTTCCCGGGCACGGGGCTTCGGCCGTCCTGCTCACCGCGGCGATACGGGAGTCCCGTGCGCGGCGGTACGGGTGTTCCCCTGCCCCCGGGGGGGGGTGGGGGTGGGGTGTGTGTCCGGTGCCGCCGCGGCGCGGTGTTCCCCCGTGCCGGTGGCGGGAGGGCCGGCGGGGAGGCGGGAGCAGCGCGGGGAGCTCCGGCTGTTCGGGACTGACCGTCCTTCCGCTCCCGCAGGTCCCGGCCCGATGCGGCCTCTGCGCGCCAGGGTGGGAGGCAGCCCCCCGGCGGAGCGCAGCTGCCCGTCATGCCTTGGAGCGTCCGGTGGGTCGGCGGCCGCGGGGCCCAGTCCCAGAAGCAGTGCAAGAAATCCTCCTTCGCCTTCTACCAGGCGGTGAGGGACTTGCTGCCTGTCTGGTTCCTGGAGGACATGCGGACCATGGAGGTCTTCCACTGGGAGGACGGGGGCAAGGTGAGTGTGTACTCGCCCTCGGAGGCCCTGCTCTATGCGCTGGTGCACGATCACCAGCCCTACGCCCGGCACCTCCTGACTAAGTTCCCCGAGAGTGCCCTGGCTGTGCCCAGTCAAAGCTTCAGCTGCTGTCAATCCTCGGCCCCACACCTGGCCATGGCTGTCCGCTACAATCGGGTCCGGGTCCTCTTCCGAATCCTCAAGGCCATCCAGGCCTTCCCGCCAAGCGACCGAGCCTGCCACCTGGACCGCAGGGGCTGCAGCCGTGTGGAGGGTGGTAAGACAGCCTTGCACGTGGCCTGTGAACTGGTGCGACCCGAGTGCCTGCTCCTGCTGCTTGGCCACGGTGCATCACCCTGCCTGCAGGACAGTGCCGGGAATACCCCCCTCGACACCTTGCTGCAGCAGATCTCCCACGCGCCCGCAGCTAACATGCGTGCCAAGCTCCTCTGCCTCGACTGCCTCTTCTTCTTCGTGCCTCAGGACCTCCAGTTCACAATGAAACAGCAACTGTTGGACAACCGGCAGCAGTGGCAGGACCTCCTGGGGGTGAGCAGGTTCCAGTGCCTGGTGGGCTTAGCTCCCCCATCACTGTTTGTCGGAGCCATGCGTGTCTTGATCAGGACCATTTCACCTGAGCATTTCCCAGAGGCTCTGGACAATCTGCCTCTGCCTCACTTTCTAAAGCCGTTGGACTTGAAACTGGAGAGCTAGAGGGGTGGTATGAGAGCCTCCTGCTCACCTGACAGAAATAGACTGCTGTGCTAAAAATGTATCAGTATACGGAGCTGCTAATGCAGTGGCCAAGTATCTGTTTTAATTAGAACCGTGTTTTTTAAAAGAATTATCTGGCACTTTACAATATATTTTATTTAAAGATCCTTGTGGTGAGGTGAGGTCTGCACTGCGTTTTATAAAAACATTCTATGGCATGTACAAATGAGGGGATGTGGGAGAATATATTTGTAAATACATCTGAATAAACCAGTAGCAGATGTGATCAAAATACGAATTGAGCATCTGAAACCCCTGAAGTGGCATGTGCCTTGGAAAAGCATGCGCGGGGTGGGGGAGTGTCTTTTCGTTAGGATTTCCCTGTTACATAAGCCTCGTGCTCCTGGAACATGATGACTCCTTTTTTACAGCTCTCCTAATACATCTTGGCAGGGATGCAAGCGTTTTTTAAAGGCACAGATGAAAACTTCCTCATCTTGTACACAAGACCAAAGAGAAGCCAGACACTATTAAAACTTCCCTAAACAAGGCTGGCAGGGAGGTGAAGCTGAAAAAGAAGATAGTTTAAAATATAACTAACAGTTGGTTTTCTTGTAAGGTTCTCTCTGTTTCCCTGGGAGCACCAAGGTGCTTGTTGACAGGTGAAGAAGAGCAGGAGAACATACATTCTTCTGGCCAATCTTCTCTGTGTGATTGGTGCAGGGTGGGGTATGAGGAGGGCCAGCCTCCATCTGCCTGCACTCTGCTGTGCCCAGAGGGATTGATGTAGGTATGTATGGCAATAGCCCAGGACCCTAGACCATCTTTTTGTTCAATGGGTTCTGGCCCCTCTGCTGCCAGTCCTCAGCAGGATTCAAAGGCTTAAGTTCAGCTGAGAGAACTGTGGCAGTATTTGTGTCTGCTCTGGGTACCAGGGGGTTAGCTTAGATATCCAGCCTTCCACCTCTCCCTTCTGAGATGCTCCAAGCTACACAACGTATCTTCACAGCTGCTCCAGCTCAAAAGGTCCTTTGGGAGTAATGTCCTGCCTCCAACACTTGGGTTAAACACATCAAAGTCCTGAGTAAAGGATACAGTTTCAGTTCTTTGCTCTGCAACCTTCACAGTATTCTGGGCAATCACACTGCTTACTTCCCTGTAAAACTGGCACGGCCCCTGCTTACTCTGCAGGGAGCGAGCTGAACTGGCTCCACCAGCGTTGCAATGACAGATATCTCCTAGGCCACAGTGCTGTAGCTTTGTCTCTGTTCTTGGAAGTTGCCTGAAACTATAGGTTTTTTTTCAGTGCTTAAATGTGTAGCCAGGGACTTGTTTGCCACTTCAACTATTTCAGCACTGTTGTTCCCATTGGGGTCACCAAGCAACTGATGTGCTCAGAGAGAAGAGGCCATGATGGGCTCCTTTATTCATGAATTAATTTTGGTTAGGAAAAAAACAATGCAATCAACCACAGAATTAAGCATTATAAGTTCTTCATGCTTCAGCAGAACAGAGTGGTATTTCATCTGAAATCTCTGTACTGCATGCACAATAAAAGATAAGCCATACTTCTGAAATCTGAGATGCAATAGAAAGAAGATTGCTATTCTTAGACCAATGGCACTGAAATGTTTCCTAGAAGAGCAAATGTTCTTTTTTTTTCCCAAGAAACCAAGCTGATACATACTCAAACTGATCACCATGGCAAATACAGATCCCTTGCTGGAAAGTATAGAACAACTCTGTTTCTCTTAAACTTCCTTGTTGATATTAAAAATACAGAAATAGAAAGAACTTGCTTAACCTCTTAAAAACCCCCAAAATTAAAAATCTGTCGCTAAATCCTTTACTTGAGTACATGATCCCCATTGCTTTTGTAATAATGGTATGAAAGCATCTTCCAAAACAGATGAGAAATAAAACAGTCAGGTCTAATTTGCACACGGAAAAGTACCTTGAGTTGAAGGAAGAAACAGCGCTGGGTGTGGAAGGAAAGGTTTATCAGCCTTGCTGACAAGGGCATCATGAGATTGAGATGTAGGGACTTGGTTAGTTGAACTGAGCACTGGAAGACACTCCTGCAAGCTGTGAGGGTAATGACACAATGGAACAGAATGACAGGCTGAGCAGGACATCCTACACCTTAGAAGAAGCCCATTAGCAAAACAAGAATTCAAGGCCAAAGCTGCCCCTGTGGTTCCCCAAAGCCCTCCCACCTGCTCTCAGGTAACTCATGTTAACAAACAGGGAAGGTTCCCTCAATACATTGCGATGGGTCCAAAGTCAGTTAACTGCTGCGCTTCTCCTGTTATTCTAGGACAGAAGTCAAGCCTATTGCTGAGCCCAGAGAAACTGGGCAAACTACACCAGTGACTACACAGCTCACTCACTCAACTGGGTCCAGGCTTGTTTTTCAAACAGAGTCACAGCTTGGAAAAAGGCTGGGGCTTCTCAGCTTTGGAGACAGAAGTCCTTTGTTTGTAGACCAAGCCATAGCGGCATCAGCTTTCCTCAGACTGACTGGCCACCGTGTTTCTGTTCTCTGCTACCTTTGGAGCACGGTGGAGTGCAGGCTTCACAGTTCATCTCTTGCCGAAAGCTGCCAGCAAAAAGGCCAGTTAGTGCCAGTTGCAACATCATGGGCGAGCTTAATAAAGCAAACTTGGGCAGTCCTTATGGCTCTGCAGAAGAGGACTGCCAGTGCTAGTCAGGGAAATGGCCCAGAGGTGTGGGAATGAATATCCACCAAGCCCTAATACCATGAGAGCACCAGGGTAAGGTTATATACTTAAAAGCTTCTGTCTTACCTGCACAGGTCAAAACAAGGACTCATCTGTAGGAAATGCTTTCAAAGCTCATAAGGAGACATATTGAGCCAGCATTCCTGAAAAGCTTAGTTACAGCCAGTTGCTCTAAAAAACTACTAACTTGAAACAGTGAAGAAATGTAATAAATAAATTCCCATGTGTTGCTCAAGCTTTTTCAAAACAAAATATTCATTACTTTTATTTTTAACTCTTTGAAACTGCCCCCTCTCTGCAGCTCCCTGAAGTTCAGCAGTTACAAAGTTTAGCCTGTCTAGAGTCTGCTGAAGGAGCTGAAGTCTATTGTGATTTTAAGTTACTCATTTAAAAGATTGATTTGGGATCTTTTTCTTACTATAACATTTGTCTCGGTCTTGCTGTCTGATGCACTGTCCTGCCATAAAAACTTCATCCTTGTTCTTGCCATAGTCACAGCCTGGTATGAGCATTGCCAGAGGGGGCACCTTAAATTTGACAGCAGATGCAGATATTAAGCACATCTGAAAATCAC